GTGTGTGTGTGTGTGTGTGTGTGTGTGTGTGTGTGTGTGTGTGTGTGTGTGATATGAAACATTTATACATCACATCAGGTAAAACGCTCTTCGGTACTGCCCTATCCAGAGTTCAAGGGTCAGCCAGCAGGAACTAGAAACCATTAGATCTGGAAAGTCTTGACCCTAGAGAGTGCACTCGGTAAACTCGGTATTTCAGTGCTCTGTGTGTAACTGGAGGAAGTTAGGTCATGCATGTCGTCTGGACAGGGTTAGCATTCCTGGGTCTACTTGGCATCAGGTGCTGGCTTCCTTCCAGGCAGCTTCTCGGGTGCCATCCAGCTCTGTCCCAGCAGCACAAACAGCTGTAATCCTCACAAGGCACTGGCTCTGTGGAGTGAGCCTGTCAAAGCTGCCCTCTGCCTCCTTCCCCTTCCATCATTTATGTCCAATTAGTAATTTTTTTTTCATTTTTTTTTTTTAGCGCCACAAACAAAATATGCCTGCCTTCAATAAATCACAGGAAGAAACTTTCATTTAATTCCTCCTTCATTTAATTCCACCACACTCTACATAAATGATAGAAAGTCAGACACTCACAGTGTAAATAGTTTCTTCTTTAAGAACAGGGGTCCCTGGGCTGAGTCAGTAGTGACATAAAGGGACATTGCTTTCAGCCACATTTGAAGCTGAAATTTAGAGTAGAATTCAGAAAGGAAATGATGAGCAAGCAGCATGATTTACACCAAGAATGCAGTGCTTTTTTTGGTGATGTTAACTGAAACTGTGTGTCTTGACCAATATGAGCTCTGTCAGTGACCAGCAGGCAGGCTCGTCTCCCTTTCTTTGCCCCTCTAGTGGGGATTCTTATAGGCCTGGTCAAGCCCCTTGGCTCTCCTCCTCCAGTAGTCCGGTGCCTGGAAGAAGGCTGTAGGCGCCATGCTGCACAGGAAGCCCTGAGCCCTTTCTTTAGCGGCTCAGCTCTCATGTCACAGGCCATGTCGTTGACGCCGCCATCCCCTGATTGTTTTGTTCTTACCGCACTTGTTTTTCAACAGAGAATCCAGGCCAGAGCCTGAACAGACTCTTTCAGGAAGTACCGAAACGAAGAAATGGGTCTGAAGGTATGTCTCAGGCAGGGTTTCTCTTTGCAGTCAGTAACCTAGGAAGCAGCATGTCCTTAGCTGTACATTTGGGTTAAAACTGTGCAATGTAATTCTGGCCTGGAACCTGATGGAAAAACAGCTAGTAAGTATAAAACAAAGCACGGGTTCAAAGGCGCCCATAGCTAGACAAGCAAAACCCAAGGTCAGTCCCCTCAGCATCAGTCCTAGGTGTGATTCCCAGGGACACGATGCCTGTTTTCTCAGAAGCAGGTGACAGAACAGTTGTGCTCTGAGAAAAATCAGGTGACGGTGTAAAACCAGATCTTGCTGCTTCCTCAAATTTTTAACTCTGGAATATCTCAGAAACCCCATGATGTGGACAGATCGCACACAAGGCTGGCTCTTTCATGGGCATCGGTGAGCCAGCCTTCCCCATGCTCCTCTGAGCGCACCTTCCCGGGTGCCTTCATTATTGAGTGACTTAACGTGGCCTGTCTGCTGAGGGGGCCAGTGAACAGCTAAGTGTCCGGATGGCTCCCACGAAGGCCTGGCCCCACCCACCCTGTGAGCCCTGTATCTTCAGGGCACCTGTGCACTCTACTGTGCAGAGTATTGCCATTTGGCCAGAAGAATACATTTGTATCCTTAGGGTCTCAACAGCTCTTTCTCCTTCTTGGTAAATTTCAGAAAAACACAGGATGTGGTTATAAATCTGGAAAGCTTGGGGTTCACCCTTGTCCCTTTTCACCAGGCACATCTCAGTGAGTGGTCCAGGATTGGCATCACTCAGGGCTAGGGATGCAGCTCACTCTCAGTGCTGGAGCACATATCTAAATTAGTGCAGGGCCAGGGATGTGGCTCAGTAATCGAAGAGGGAGCTGGGGGCGTGGCTCAGTGCTGGAGCACCTCCCTAGAGTGAAGCTCTATGGCACGGCTCGCCAATAGAGGAATTGCCTAGCACGCCTAAGGCCTTAAATTCAGTCCCCAATCACATGTTCATGTGCACGTGTACACACACACACACACACACACACACACACACACACACACACTGGATTGTTCAGGCTCAACTTTTCACCTTTTGCCTCCTTTCCCTGTTTATGTTTAGGAAAAAAATCAATGTAAAGAGCCTGAATGTAGTCCCAAGCCAAAGCTTTTAAATGGCTCATGAAAAACACTGCCTTTCAATTTCCCTTCTTTTCCTGTACTGTTCTGAATGATTGGTTGCCCTCTGATACTAACCCCTTGGGCAAAGTCTAGCTCGGGTGATAAGAAAGCCTGTTCTGCCAACAGAGTGACACTGACTGAAACCTCCTGCCAGGCATGTCCACCATCCATGCCAGGAGATCACATCTGCAACAATTAGGGACGGCTGGGAGGCCACACCCACCTCCGGTCAGGCGCCACCCTCACCTGGGCCCCAGTGTCAGTGTCTTGGTGCAGCGCTGATGTTTCACTTCAGATCAGGCTTCAGTGTCATCGCTGTGACTTCCCTGCAGGGAACATCACTACCCGAATCCGAGCATCGGAGACTGGTTCTGATGAAGCCATCAAGTCCATCCTGGAACAAGCCAAGAGAGAACTGCAAGTGCAGAAAACCGGTAGGGACTCTGCTTCCTCAGTCATTGTCTTCAGACCTAACTGTATTTGCCGTGAGTGTTCTAGGCAGCAGGAGTTACGCTCTTCCTCTTTTCTAAGGAGACACTTGGTGTATGTTCTCACATGTTAGGCATGTACAGAGGGAAGTGTGATCTACACGGTATATCCTCTTTGGGGGGTGGGGCAGTTTCAGTTTTTGTACTTGAGATAGGGTCTTGCTGTATAGCTTGAACTCATGACCCTCCTGCTGCCACCTCCTGGGTGCCACCACAGCTGGCTTATGCTTCCCAAGCTCAGCAAAACCAAGAGAAGTGTGGGCATGTGGCTCAGGAGAGTTAGTGTTTACCTTAAAATTCTCCCGGAAAGAAAGCCAGAGTGCATCTTTGGAGATGAGTCAGTGGGTCAAACGGATCAAAGACCTGAGTTTGGATCCTCAGAATCTGGATTAACAACCAGAATAGCAGAAGCATCTGTGGCCCTGGCCCACCCCATACATATGGGTGGGAGAGGAGGATCTTCAGACTCCCACAGGCCAGACAACCTAGCTTATGCAGCAAAAGAGAAACAAGGACCAACACCCAAGGCTGTCCCCTAACCTCCACAGGAGCTCTGTAGCTCATGTCCATTCACACATGCGCACAGACACACACAAGAGAGAGGTACAGAAAGATGGCTCAGCAAGTGAAGGCCTTTGCCACCAAGCTGACCACCCAAGTTTCATCCCCGGATAACTGACTTCTGTCATGCAGCACAGTATGTGTGAGCCCACACACATCTGGAATAAATAAATACTTTTTTATTAAGTAAAGGGAGAGCCAGGTAGGAATGGGGCATGTCCGCATTGGCCGACCTCCACCGTCAGCTGTTGCTCTGTGGCAGCCGCTGTTAGGCCATTGAGCAGGAGTGCCAATCTTTTGTGTTACCCACCCCGAACACGGTGTACAGATATTTTCATGTCTCACTGATAATGAGATATTAGAAAAGTGGCACAGTGTAGTTACCCCCAGATAATACACATTCGATCAGGTCAGGGTGGCATGAAGCGCACAGCTGCCAGGCACTGTCTATAACGTCACTTGTGTTTGTTCCAGCCGAGCCAGTCCAGCCATCATCCGCATCCAGCAGTGGGAACTCTGACGATGCCATCCGCTCCATCCTACAGCAGGCCCGCCGGGAAATGGAGGCCCAGCAGGCTGCCCTTGACCCCGCCTTAAAGCCAGCTCCGCTGTCCCAGCCCGACCTCACCATCCTCACCCCCAAGCTCCTGCCTGCCTCACCCATGTCTACTGTGTCCACTTACCCGCCTCTCGCCATTTCCCTGAAGAAAACCCCTACAGCACCTGAGGCCAGTGCCTCAGCCTTGCCCAGTGCCCCAGCCCTCAAAAAAGAGGCTCAGGATGCACCCTTGCTGGACCCAGCAGGCTCAGCTGATGCTGCCCAGGGGGTCCTGAGGCCAGTGAAGAGTGAGCTAGTCCGTGGCAGCACCTGGAAGGATCCCTGGTGGAGCCCTGTGCAGCCTGAAAGAAGAAATCTCACCTCCTCGGAAGAGACCAAGGCTGATGAGGCAGCTGCAGGTGGGAGAGAAAAGGCAGGCAGCAGCCAGCCACGGGCTGAGCGCAGCCAGCTCCCAGGACCCTCCTCATCAGCGGAATACTGGAAGGAGTGGCCAAGTGCCGAGTCGCCATACTCTCAGAGCTCAGAGCTGAGCCTCACTGGAGCCAGCCGCAGTGAGACACCCCAGAACAGCCCTCTGCCTTCCTCCCCGATTGTGCCCATGGCAAAGCCAGCCAAGCCCTCAGTGCCCCCACTGACTCCTGAGCAGTACGAGGTCTACATGTATCAGGAAGTGGACACCATTGAGCTCACCCGGCAGGTCAAAGAGAAGCTGGCCAAGAATGGCATTTGCCAGAGGATCTTTGGGGAGAAGGTAAGAGTTTCACTCTTCGGGGCACAGGCATAGCTTCCTATCTCTTCTTGGGCCTGAGGACAAAGTGGCCATCCTGTACTGCACAGCCAGGAGTATTAGATGTCAGAACTCGCAGAACCTCAGAGGCCCCTGGCAAGCGTCCCAGCCTCCCAGCTCTGTCTGCTGAGTCCCACTGGGGCTTAGCCATCCACCTTGTGCTGTCCTGAGTCTCTCAGCTGTCCTGCTTGGCAGCTGGTAAAACTGAGGCAGCCTCAGAGGAAGCGTCCAGGAGTGTTGACTGCACGAAACAAGCTGGCAGGTGCCACTGTACCTCCCTGCCTCTGAGGGCACATGCAACAGAGAGACATCTCTGTGGGCCATTTTGACCCTTAAAGGTCTGATGGGGTCAGGCTGCTCAGGGCACGGCTGGCCTTCTGAGAACCAGAGCACTCGTGGGAGTGAAACACCACACAGAACAGAACTGTTCCTTGGTTATTTTGTTGGTTTGTGTTTATTTGTTTCATTTCATTGTTGTTATGAGAAGGTTTTTGTTTGTTTGTTTATGTTCATAATTTTTGAGGCAGGGTCTTCCTGTGTAGTCCTGCTGACCTGGAACTCGCTATATAGGCCAGGCTGGCTTCATGCTAGCCAGAATCCTGCCTATAGCGCCCACATGCTCCAGTCACAGGTGTGTGCGGCTGCTCGGCTCCCCGCTGTTCTTTCTCTACACTCCAAGGCCCACACAGACCCACTCGCAGCTTCACACATCATCTCTCCCTGGCTCATGGGAGTGTAATCATTTAAGGTTTAGCTTCTAGACCTATCTGGTGGCAGATTCAGGATAACAGGATTTACCACGCCTGTAAAATCTAAAATAAGCATAATAACCTCTATCGTTAGAGATTAAGCTGGGATTTGCCGAGTATAAGGAAAGTGCTCCCTTCCTGAGGTGACACAGGAGGTGGGGCAGCATGGCTCACCTTCCCTCCCCACCCAGCCCCCTGCCTCACCTGTGTTGGCCTCAAGCTCTGTGGTCTGTTTATGACCTCTTTGCCCCAGTTTTGCAAGAAGTGATGGGGTACGTAAACATGAGAATGTGAATTGAAAGTCCCTGGAGAATTTCGAGTTCAGCATAATAAAAATAAAATTTGTGAACATTTAAATAGGCATTTTGCGCTCCCACCTTAAATTTAGCAGACTTAATAACATTGAATTTGTTTGGCCTGTGAGTGCTGCTTATTCTGGAACTGGAAAACTTTGCAGAGTGATGGGATGAGGCCCCTAAATATCTCTGGGCTACATCTGCGCCCTGGGGGGGGGGGGGTGTTTGTGCCCATACATATGCATGGCCATATGTGAGAGGCAGCAGCCTGAGTTCATGGATCCAAGTTGTCTGTTGTCGGCAGCGCAGTGTTGCTCCCACACTGGCTCGCTGTCTCCATCAGCTCCCTGATGGTCAACCTGTGAGCAGGCTGCAATCAGAGAGGCTGGCCCTTTGAAAATGCCCGTTTAGCGCTGTGACAACACAGGAGCCTGCTTTTGCGTACCTCCAGTGTTTCCCAGTTCCTGTGGGCTCTAATTCCAATACCCCAGCCTTTCCTGATAACCCCGGGCAAAGAGCAAGATCCCAGGCCCATCACTGCAGAGTTTAGGCCTATACTCTACTACTAAGCTACGCCCCCAGCTCTCACTGGGGAACTCTAGGCAAATGCTGAGCCACATTCCCAGTAGAAGTTGTGATTTTATAATAATTTCTTTTTTGCAGAACCCCTGCGCTGTCCCAGGTCTTTATCCTGCCAGGAATCTGGAAAAGCTTATTGCAGCAAATTGTCATAGTGCACCAGGCTGTGGTTCTGTGCTCAAAAAAGAGTCCTCCCATATGTTTCATCCCCTCCATGCCCCAAAGGGCCAGGTGTATGTCTCTGGGGCATCCTGCAGCATCATGCTGATTTCTGGAAGCTGATGGCTGCTCTTCTTTGTTTGCTTTTCCAGGTGCTGGGCCTGTCCCAGGGCAGCGTCAGTGACATGCTCTCTAGGCCAAAACCATGGAGCAAACTGACCCAGAAAGGCCGAGAACCCTTCATCCGGATGCAGCTCTGGCTGAATGGAGAGCTAGGCCAGGGTGTTCTGCCTGTGCAAGGGCAACAGCAAGGGCCAGGTGAGTACAGCCTCCACCCCTGCAAGGTCTTGGCAAGGACAGCTCCACCCACATGCTGGTTTTGTGGTTCGTTTTTATGGGGCAAAGACAGTAGTGATATGGATCTTTTCATATCTCTGAGATGACCTCAAACTCAGTCTGTGGCCTAGACCAGCTCACTCACCGTGTAAACAATGCCGACCTTGAGCCCACAATCCTCCTGCCTCAGCCTCCTAAGTGATGGAAAGACAGGCATGAACTCCTTGCCTGGCTCTGTCTTTAGATTTCAGGATTAAAGAGGCTGAACCTGGTTGATTTTATAAGCAGCAGAAAATCAGTTACCAATTAAGAAAATGCTGTTTCTGTGTAAATACGGTAAAGGTCAAGAACCTGCCCTGGGGAACGGAGAAGGAGACCTGGCTAGAGTGGCTGCACAAACGAAAGTGACGCAGGGGCGGCGTCTGCTGCCTTGAAGCCAGGGTTCCAGCCCTTTATACAGACTTGCGCAACACCCGTCCGGACCCAGCACCCTGGCCCTCAGCTGAGAGCAGGGAGACCCTCTGGACCCTCCAGAGTCTTTTGTGTGTTGGGAAGCTCCATGCCTTGTTTCCTAGGTAACAGTTCCTTTTTCTTCCACAGTCCTCCACTCGGCGACATCTCTGCAGGACGCCCTCCAGCAGGGCTGTGTGAGCTCAGGTAAGTAACCACGCGTGTCTTTGCTAGCTCCTCTGCTCTGGGATCTGGGAATAAGTGTCCCATTCCCAACCACAGCAAGCAGCTGCCTCTCCCACTCTGCTGTGCTGCGCTCTGAGGCTGCTGTGTGGGTTTAAGAATTGGCTTCTACTAGGTAGAGTGTCCCCGAGAGCCACTCACCTGTGTGCGGCAATAGTTGTTTCTTTTCCTACCTGAGTAGTATTCCTGTAGTGTGGTTGTACCAAAGTTTGTATTGCGTTGAGGCTGTCTCTAGGTTGCAGCTGTTATACATAGAGTTGACATGGCAGTAAAGAGAGAGAAGGCAGCCTCCTCCTTGCAAACTCTGGGCTTGCTTTCTGATGGCACCCATAAAGTCCATGCCTTTCCTGGATCCCTTCATTGTTCTTTGAGTATGAAGCTCTGTGTTTGTGGCTGGGGTCTATTGGAGGCAAGTTTCATGGTCGGGATCCCATTCTAGCAGGAGACACACAACACAGATATCAATGGCCAGGAGTCCTGGGAGGGGACATTCCTTTCATCTGGAAGACCTGGGCCTCTGAACAAGGGAACTGGGGAGATCGAAGCACCAGAATGGAGTAAGACAGAGCCGTCCCAGGAGCAGCTGGGTGGGGCTCAGTGGGCCCTCGCCGAGTGCTCAGGTGGGTGGAGTAAATGATGAAATCGAGTGGGGAGGGCAGCAGGTACAGCCCGTGAGTTCAGAGGTACCTCACAGGTCTGTCATCTATGCCCTGAGGGCCTGGCCACAGCCATCGCTCCCAGGCTCTCACTGTGGCCTCCCTGCACGGAGCCCACAGTCCACCCCGCTTTCTCTCCCAGCTCCCAGTAACAGCCGGTAGTGTGAGCTGTTCCCTTTCCTTTCTCTAGTTTTCTAAACATGTTGATTAGTCTCCGTATCCCATTGATTCATTGAAAACACAAACAAAGCTAAGTGAGGAGCGAGTGCAAAGCCTGTCAGCTTGCCAGAAGGCTTATGAGGGACACATGTGCTTGGAGGGAACAGCTGGGCAGCTTTAGCAGTAGCTGCTGCTGCAAGATCCCAAACACACACTCTCCTTCTCCTTCCCCACCCTGCACACACATGAACGCACACACACACACACACACAGAGTCAGGGTGCAGCAGGCCCTCAAAGCTCTCCCCTGGGGGTTTCATGGGTTTTCGGTGTTCTGGTTTGGTGTGGTCCCTCCTGCAAGTAGAGACTGGGCAGATTCGCTGAGGAAATTCCCAGCACTGCCTCTGTCCAGATCACACTCAGGAGGAACCTCGGCTGGGACAGTTGTGCTGCACTCCTGTGGAAGTTTGTGTGGTGTACTGCCCTGGCCTCCTAAGTTCAGGGGTCCCTCAGCACCTTGTCCCGTAGAACCCTGACCAAACCTTGTCCGTACATCTCCAAGGGCTTTGCTTTGTTTTCACACGGTGTGTGGGTCATGTCAGAGGACAACTTGGAATTTGTCTCTTTCCACACCATGGGTCCCAGGGGGTTGGACTCAGGGTGAATAGTGAGTGTCTGTACCAACTGAGCCATCCCACCGACCCCTCCAAGACAGGGTCTCATATCACCAGCTAGCCTCACACTCACTCTGTAGCTAATGATGATCTTGACTCTCTGATTCTGCTGGGCCCTCCTAAGTGCTGGGGTTATAGGTGTGCACCTCCCCAGCCAGTATATGCGCTGCTGGGGTGAGCCAGGGCTTTCAGCCAGGCAGATGCTCTGTCAACTGACGTACATCCCCTCCCCCAACACTGAAATATCTTGTGATGGTAGGATTTATAAATCCTGGCGATGAATGACTCTAGAAAATTCCAGAATCTTTGACAACTTTCATCATTGTTTCCTACAAAAGAACTCTGATTCAGAGAGCCCCATAAAATTCTGATTGCCTCCTTTCCATAGTTACTATGGAACTCATCCCAGAGGTCCCCCAGCTGAGAAAGATAACCTGCCCCTCGAGGACCCCTGACAGCTGTGCCGAGAGGTATGCAGCATGGCCTGGCCAGTCCTGGGCAGTGAGGGGCTCACTTTCCTCCCTGGGGTCCAGAAACTTGAAAGGCCCTGCCTTCTCTCTGCCGGACCAGTTGTACATCAGTGAGATGTCCCAGGTCCCTGCAGACTCAGGGTTGTCAGGGCAGTTAGAGCCTCTCTTGGCAAAGGGCAAAGTGTAGGCTAGGGCCCCTGCTCCTTGCCAAAGAATCCCCACCTGGGAGCTACAGATGCTGCCCCTAGAGAAGGTAGAGAGCCGTCCCCAGCACTCCAGAAAGCTCTCAAGAGTTAGAGACAGGAGGGTCAGGAGTTCCCATCCACTCTGGTCCTAGTGACTCACAGAACAATCTGAGGAGGAGGGACCCAGTTCCAACTGTCTTTGTGACTGTGGCCCTTTGTATCTTTGAGAATCTGAGCCTTGGAGCACAAAAGGAAATGTAATGTCATTTTGATCTACCAGTGTTGCTCCATGGTAACTTCTGTGGTGTGTGTGGGGTGTGTGTGTGTGTGTGTATGTGTGTACACTGTCCTGATATCAACCTTGGCTGTCATTCTTCTGGAGTCATCAACCTTGCTTTTCAGACAAGGTCTCGCAGCCATCTCTGGGGCTCACCAGCGGGGCTAGTCTACCTGACATGAGAGCCCACTTTCCCAGGCTAGGATTACAGCCTGCTCCGTGACACCCAGCTGTCTTTACATGGATTCTCAGGGTTAATACACATACACCAGATAGAATCTACTAACCTTATGTAATATTTCCTTTTTACTTCTTAAAACTAACTTCTGCACAGTTGCTTGGACTGGTTCATCTTTCAGTCCCTAGGGAAGGAGAGAGGCAAGAGGTAGCTCTGAAGGAAGAGGCCCCCCCCACCCCGTGACATTCGTCACCGAAACTGTGGCTTCCTGGCTCATGCTGCCTGTGCCCTCAGCTTGAGAACTTGTTGATACGGAAACCTTTCATGACCGGGGCTAACAAGGTGCTCTGTGCCCTTCATACTGGCTTCTGGCAGGTCGTGTCAAAGTGTACAAGTGAAATGATGCCTCTTTGCCATAGAGTAGGCACGAAGCACTCAGCTTTTTCCCAGCACACCGGGTGGTCAGGAAGAGCGGCTTCCAAATCCTGCCCGCCTGTGAAGAATCATGCAGCTGCATGGTGCCACTGTCCACCAGCAAGTGGCAGCTGTAGGGACAGCTGCTGCTGCTGGCTCTAGCACGGGCGGTCCAGCTCACCCCATCCTGCTGTGACATCCATAGCTGTGCAAGTGAGGGCTGTGGCTGTCTCTCACAGAAAGCCCATATGCTTTTCTGGTGTGCATCATGGCAGGTGTGTGAGCTACTGGGAAGGCCTGTCCAAGGAGCTCCTTGTCTCGGGCCCAACAGTGAGATTCTGCTGCAGTCTGTCCTTCCCTAAGCAGCCAGGTCTTGGCATTTGGCTAGCATGAAAGAAGTGTTAGAGGGTTGGTGGCAGCACCAGAAAATTTCATGGGACTGAAGAGAGTGGGCAGAACTCCTCATGAATGCACTAGACTTGAGTACATTTTTTTTCTTCTGTTTGCTCCAAGAATGTTGTGAGAGCAACTGGTTCGCTCTAGACACTGGCTGTGTTTGTGTAACTGAGTTTTGTATGCAACAGCTACACATGGCCTCATAGAGCAGATAAACGGAGAGAGTTCAGTCAGGTAGTGCATTCCGTGCAAACATGAGGACCCAAGTTCCATCCCCAGAACCGCATAGAATGCCAGGTGTGGTGGTGCATGCTTGTAGATCCAAGGACTAGGAGGCGGAGACAGAGGGCCCCTGAGTTCCAGGTCAGGGAGAGACGCTGTTTTAAAAAAAACAAAGCAACAACAACAAAAACAGGTGGGGAGCAGCACCCGTGATGGTGCCCTGACTTTGCAAACACATGTGCACCCTACACTCATGTGCAAACATGGAACATACCCACACACAAAGAAAAAGACCTGGAAGTCCCTGATGAGACTAAAAAGATCCCACACATGGCTCCTCCCTCAGGGCCTAGAATGTTAGTCTGTGGTTGTCTCCTTCGTGTTGGCAACCTGCCATGGGTCACTTTCATTTTATTAAATGTAGCATATTATAGGGATTCTCCATTCTGAGACCAAAGAAGGAATTTCTGGATTTGGGTTATTTTGTGACATGTGTGGGCAAAGGGTTGCCAGGAGGTCCCTGGAGCCGCAACTGGGCCATGAAAGGTGATGGGATCAGGCAACAAAATGCTTCCAGTAGGAAACAAATCTGAACACCTAAGAAACAACTAGTTCAGAAGCCTTCCTAGCCAACAGGAGGAAAGAGGATGAATGCATGTCACTCTCTCCTCCAGTAGAACCCTGAGATGTTGGCCTTTAACACTGAAGACGAATGTGGACAGCACAGCCCACCAGGCTTCTCACAGCTTTCCTAATTTGTATCTGTGTATCGTATTAGGGGCTGGGCCTTACCTCAGCCCCTCACTGGGGCATTCTAGGCAGGGGCTCTACCCCTGACCCACACCCCAGCCCCTCACTGGGGGGATTCTAGGCAGGTGACCACTGAGCCACACCCCAGCCCCTCACTGGGGGGATTCTAGGCAGGTGACCACTGAGCCACACCCCAGCCCCTCACTGGGGGGATTCTAGGCAGCTGACCACTGAGCCACACCCCAGCCCCTCACTGGGGGATTCTAGGCAGGTGCTCTACCACTGAGCCACAGCCAGCCCCTCACTGGGGGGATTCTAGGCAGGTGCTCTACCACTGAGCCACAGCCAGCCCTTGAAAGAGATTCAGATTGGTTCCTAACCCATGACCTCCCCTGGACTACTGGAGAGCAAGCAGGATGATATACTGAGTTGAAAACCAGTGTTGACCTACCCTGCCTCTACGTCTTAGTGCCTATCTGGCCTGGGACAAAGCAGCTCAACCTTTCTGCCCTCCTGTAGCTGTGGAACAGCTAGAATATCTCCTAGGCTGTGGGAAAGCCTGAATGGGTTTAGTTAGGTATAAT